GACTCACATGACACATTTTCTCTTAGCATGTCATCATCCCTATTTTATTCACCACCCCTCGAAAAAAGTATGAAATTAAATGTAAAATACTCTATAAAATCGTTATTGCTCAAACAAACCATAATATTTATATCCTTCAATTTTGTTTGGTGATAGAGCTCTCAAATAGAAAATCAGACCCCTCCTGCCACATCATCTCTTTCACAATTCGTTGATAATTCTCTCTAACGTTTCATTATATATTGTTGTTTATTATATTATTATTTAAATTAATTTACAATCATTCAGAAGAACTAGAGAACTTCTGTTCCCAGAGTAAGTCAATCAACCACAGTATCAACGGGAGAAAACTATGTTAGTAATTATGTTCACTAGTAGGTGGTGTAAGCTTTGGTACCTTAAAGATTATTTTATAGTTTAATTCAATTTATTTTTCATTTAGTTGGAAAAATAAAATACATGATCTCATTTCTTAATTCTTGAATAAGCTATGGTTATGGAATAGCAAACTGGAAAATATGGCAATTTTTGGACCTGTTGATCTACTTACAGAATTTTAAAGCAAACTGTTGTTTTCAGATATAATCTTTTGCAAAAATTAAGCCTAAAACAGAATATTATGTATTTTTACTTACTAATCATAAATATTTCTAAATAGAAAACAAAAAAAGTTAAATTTGGTGATGTTATCATTAATAGATTATGTCTAACTGTCGGTGAAACTTCAAATGTGATTACTAATTTAACTTTTTACATTACAATCCTTTCTTTGCACAAGAAATGAAGTTACTGACTACTACAACTTTCAATACAGTTGTGTTTGTTGATAATGCCCCTTCCATTAGACACTAATAATTTTAAAAATAACCTTTTGTTTTGTGCTAAAGTAACACTTTGTATTATCACAAGAAAAACAGTCATGATATTTTTATCACAACTTAATTCACTATTCCTGTCAATATCATAAAGTTAGAACTTTACAATAATTTTGTTTTTAGTAATCTGCTTCACTGCTCATATTATTCTAATTAAAAGTAGAGACAATGCAGCCCAAGACAAGTCAGAGATTATTAGAATGACTTATTTTGTGCTAATATTATGCTGTAAACTTCTTTAGAAGCACCAACAGTGCAGGTTTAATTTAAATTTGAATACCACATGACTTTGCTAATTTCCAGTGGATTGCTTTTTACCTCAATTTTGGGAAATGGAATAATTACTTTATATAAAAACAGTCATAAAGAATTCTAATGAGATAAACTGTAGCCACCAGTAATAGTTTATTTTGTTCAACATTGTGTAGTCTGCCTTACACAAAACTGCATTTGCTAGCCTCTTTGAATAAACTGTTTGCACACTGCTGTACGAGTTAACAATGTGGTTTTATTAAATACACACAACTACATCCAAATACAGTTATACTGCAATGGGGAAGCAATTTACACATAGCTGCATGTATGAACAGTCTCTTGTATTGAAAACATATATGCACTTATTATTATATGCAGTAATAACCCTATTATTCGTTAAGAGTTACATACAACACAATTTAAGGATTTATGAAATATGATGAAATGTTCTTTTGTGAAGAATAAAATCGAAAAGTTTAGACTCAATTTGGTTTGTTGAATTTTGTGCCAAACTACTTGAGATTTATCTACACTAATTTTGAAGTGACAGACTAAAGAGAAACCAAACAGTTAACACCACTCACTACCAACTCTTAGTGATGGACTAAAGGGAAACCAAATAATCAACAGCTCTCTGCCAGCTCTTAGTGACGGACTAAAGGGAAACCAAACAGTCAACACCACTCACTGCCAACTCTTAGTGATACAGTTAAGGGAAATCAAACAGTCAACACCACTCACTGCCAACTGTTCGACTACTATTTACCAATGAATAGTGGGATTGACCATCACATTACAACACCCCCTATGTATGAAAGGGCTAGCATGTTTAGTGATGAGTTTTGATCCTGCAACCTGCAGATTATAAGTTGAATTCCTTTATCATCAGGCCATGCCAGGGCTATTTAGGCTCAAAAATATACTTTGTGTCACTCACTTTTCTGGCTTTCAAAAATCTCAGAAAAAAAAGTATTAATATTAATAGTGTCTGGAAAAATGATCAGATAATGTCATCACATTGCTTGAATATATTTACAAGCAAAGTAAAAAGGTTCGATTTAGATGGTTTTGTTACTTCTGATGTTTATCTGTGCTCATACAAAAAAAAAACAAGCTGTTGCTATGCAACATAAACAGCTTTCTTGGACCAACAACTTACCCATAGCAGACAAAAACTGTGGTAATGCTTTAAAAGGAACCAATGGTTCTTTCATCTCCCTGAAAAACATTTTTAGAGCCCCTGTCAGTACATGAATGTCTTCTTCTTCCTCTAAAAGAGAGTAGTCATCTGCAAAACATTTAACACTGCTTGAAAAAAATACATATCATTTACAAAACTGAAACAACAGGTTTTAGAAAAAGCTTTATTTGTTCTACTTTACCTATTAAGCATCATACTGATTTTTTTTTATTGTTACAGAAAAAGTTTTAAGAAAAAATAAAATATTGAATATTTACAAAACTGAAACATTTCAGTAATGAAAGCTCCTAATAGCTTTTCTAGCTATTAAGGATCTTATTTATCCATTTCTTTCACAAAAATACTGATTTCTTATCAATTCAATTCAGAAATATCAGGCCATTCAAAGCAATAATTAACAGGATTGTCATTCAAAAGCACAACTGAAAACATTTCACATATGATTGAACTGTTCTATTCTCCTTAGGTACAGCAATAAATGATAAGCATTTAGTGTTTGCTAAATACTTTAAGTATTTCACTTTCCAAGTGAAATGAGTACTCAGTCATACTGTTTACTTGTTAACCAATTCTGTATAATTTGTCTTAACCCACAAATAAGCCAACGTTTTTTTTCCTAGAAAACTTCTAAGAAACTAACTCAAATTCTTAATTGCATCCGAAGTGTCAATTTTTTTTATCACAGCATTGCGCAAGTCTTATCTCCGTGAGTCTTACTTAGAATTTAGTGCCACACCCAGAAAATGTTTTATAAATATACATATAGTTCTGAGTTTTAAGCCTTGAACAAAACTTTGTATTATAATATTTATAAAATTTTCTGAAAAATGCAATCACTTGACAGTTTTCATTTGCATATTTTTCTTCTATAAAACCTAAAGTCACTGTCAAAATGTGAATAGATTACTTTCTCTTCCATACTAATATCATCAATTATATATATATACAGATGTGCCACATTGAAAATTTTTGTTGGACAATTACTTGCCAATGTTTCAACATTTATATAGTACTTGCAGGTCAATAGTACTTGTATCTTGTCCTGTAATAAACAAAGACTATGATATGATCATGTACTCTTTGTACTTCTTCAGAACATCTGAAACATATATGGCTTTAGAGAAACAATTATTTTATTAGCAATTGAGACTTCTTGTCAAAATAGTGTCATCTTAAAACTTGAAGGACTAAATATCAGTCTAGAGTAACTTTACTGTAGACAAAAACAAATGACTTGATATACTATTTTTAGCAATACAGTCAATCTCCACTGAGTCAGAAATAACTCAAAGCTAATTGAGTATCTTTGTTTTAAACATGAAATAGTACCAGTTTTGTTCCGAAAGCCATTTTTAACATTAACAACAACACAACTTCATTCACTGTGGCTATTGACAGGAAACTAACACTTTTTTTGTGGTTTTGTTGTTCAAGAAAATACAAACAATGCTTCCAAGTGAGCCAAAGTAATATACTTCTAGCAGGCTCACCAATAACAATTTTGGGCTCCAGGGCAGAACAGTCAATAGCTCCCTAAATGCTGAATCTTATGAGACTTTTTTTTTATCTTAGTAAAACAGTAAGTAACAGATAATTATTATTTTGCTGGAAATCTTAATTTTAAATATATAAAAACATATTTATCCTATCTGCTCAGGCTCCTGTAAATTGCCGAACCCCTAGGCAGTTATCCCCTTTGACCCCCCCCCCCCTTCTCCTGTTAGTGGGCCAGGCTTCAAGAACTAGATGGAAAAATACATATAACTTTTTTCACTTATAATTTTGTAGTTAGCTAACATTTCCTCAAACACAAGGAAATCTTCCAAGTGCACTTAAAACTTGAAACATAATCCACCATGCTCACCTTGATTGACATGAAATCGTATTTTCTGGACTTGTGCCAGGTTCCCACTTACTCGATAAATGCCATCAGCTGACAAGTCTGTGAATGTTGTAAATCAATGATCATTTAGTGTTGTGCATAACACAGACTTTAAAAATAACAAATAGCATGTGTCAAATCAAAAGCTGGACGAAGAATAACCTGATTTTTGACTTAAGAAATTAAAACAAAAATTAAAGAAATAATTATAACAAGTTACCACCATAACAACCAAGACTTCCTAGCACAGAGTTAAATATTATATAAATACTTATTTGAAGTTGCAACAAACTTCTGTTGTAGTTTGGCTCCAGATGCATTACATTAAAATAGAAATAAAAAAGTATAATTGGTCACAGAAAAGCAAAACGTTTAAGTTCTAAGCATACAACTGGTTTACCAGCCAACTTGCCTCGATTCTCTATGGCCTGTACGCATTTCTTTACAAACTTTGGTACTTCTACTTTTTCTCTTGAACACAAGCTATGTAGATTACACCCAAAGACTGGTTCATCTAAGAAAAAGTAAAAATAGTCATTATGAGCCAGTTACTACTGTTCAAGCTAGTCATATAAATCTAGAACCAAATAAATGTAGGGGCCAGTGCAGAAATAGATCAAAAATATTATGTCTTAGCCTTTACACGAATTTGGGTTAAAGGAAGTTATTAGAATCTGCTAGAAAACACTTCAAAGTGGAGATTTAATTAAGAAACAATAACAATACAGTTAGCATATTTTTCGGTGTATAAGATGCACTTTTTTACCCCAAAATTTGATGTCAAAATCTGCTTGTGTCCTATACACCGAAGGAATGAATAATATATATGTATATATACGAAGTACACAAACCATGTGTAAATATATTTAAATAGGTTTGGTTTGTTTTGAAATTAGCGCAAAGCTACACGAGGGCTATCTGCACTAGCCGTCCCTAATTTAGCAGTGAAAGACTAGAGGGAAGGCAGCTAGTCATCACCACCCACTGACAACTCTTGGGCTACTCTTTTATTTACCAACGAATAGTGGGACTGACCGTCACATTATAACGCCCCCACGGCGAGCATGTTTGGTGTGACAGGGATTCGATTCCGCAACCCTCAGATTGCGAGTCGAGCACCCTAACCACCTGGCCATGCCGGGCATTTAAATAGGCATGCATAGTTTAGTTGAATGTGTTATTTATAACAATAGTAGTTTTTTTTCGTTTAAAAACATAACTATTTATAATGCTCCCTAAATAATAAAAAAATTAATTACAGTGAAAGCAATGAAGATTTTGTAGGTTTTGAACCAAATTAAAAACAGTAAACTTTTTTTTATTT